TGTTTTGATGATGGACTAGCTGGTAGTGGATCATTGATAGAATCTGCATGTAGATGTGTTTTCGTTCTGTTTTGTCTTTTTCTGTAGGACATAGCGTTAACCGGTATTGTACCGAAGTTGACGATGCGATCTATCCTTATGAAGGATAATACTCTAACCATGGCTTCTAGATCGATCATTGATGCTTATTGGAAGCATGTGGATGATGATCCGGACAAGTCTAGCTTGACGTTTGGAAACATGACCTCACGCGATTAGAGGACATGGACGATTCTTTGATTGTTGATCAGTAGAATGCATCATTCCAAAAAGAGAGCTGAAAGCCATGGTAAGAGTGAAATGGTAGTTGTTGGAAAGAGTTCCAGCAAAAGGAAGCGTTCCAAGAGCAAGGGCAAGTGGAAAGTGACAAGTGTTGTCATTGAACCTAAGCCTAAGTCCAAAAAGGAAGAGTGTTATTTCTGTCATGCCGTTGGGCATTGGAACAGAAATTGTAGACTCTACCTGGAAGATCAGGAGAAGAAGAAGCTTAAAGAAGCTTCGACTTCTGGTGTCTTCGTTATGGAGGCTAATTTGTTTACTTCTACGTCGTGGGTATTAGGTCATAGTGTCTTGCTAGAGACCGCCTATGACTTGATGCAATCCATGTCAGACAACCAAGTATGGACTGTTGGGTTTCCTGGGATCTCTAGAGCGAATCCTATTCCTAAGAGATCGATTCTAGGGTTTGCGCAGCGGATATAAAACAAAAATTTTAATGAAACCCTAGAACCATGCTACTATTGAATCATAGAAACGTTAGAACGCTTATCTCAATCGATCCGGGGCCTGTATCAATTGAAGAACACGTCTGATCACGAAAGGCAGGAAATTACCTCGCCCTCTACACGTATCCACGCGTCGGGATGGATTCCAACACCTTGGAACTTGTCTGCTAGGACTAGAGATCTCGATCTCTCTTGTGTGCAAGGTTTTTTTTTTGGAGGCTTAGGGTTTTATTTTTCTTCTCTTTTTTTTTTCTTCTCCTTTTTTCTTCTTTTTCTTTTTTTTTTTAAAACCCTAGAAGACATTCTCCTTATATAGACTTTCCAAATATTCTAATTTGACAAGGAATAGATTACTAGGAATCCTAATCTAATTAGGTTTTCTAAACCTATTAGAATTCTAATCTCATTAGGTTTCCTAGATGTAATAGAATTCTAATCTCATTAGGATTCCTATACATAATAGGATTCCTAATCCCATTAGGATTCCTATTCCAATTAGGAATCTCAATCCAATTAGGATTCCTAATCGGGATAATTTAGCACACGTACTTGTCCATCCCTATTGTGTGTGACCCTGTAGGCTCATCCGGAATAGCAGTAAAACGCAGAATCTCCATTCCGGTAATACAAGTCATAGGCGGTCTCTAGCAAGACACTATGACTACCTATCTCGAATAGAGTTTGTTTGTGATCATACGAAAGTCAGTGATGATTCCGACTGATGATCCTTTTGTATCGCGATATCATATGTCGAACATAAGGCATGGACAAGCCACCTTATCTGATTCGACTGCTTTCTCGTTCACTGAGTTCGACTGTCTGAAATAGACGACGTTCGTCTATAGTGCGGCCACACATTTCTACAGTCTTGCTCACACGAGGGGCCCAGCGATATCTCTCTCTTTTACGAGAGGTACAAATCCCGTCTTGACTATCTACAATTCAGTACATGATTCGTTTCGTACCTGATACATGCCTTTATAGTCCTCCTGTTACGCAGGATGTTTGACGTAATCAAAGCACGCAACTTCTCATGTTGGATTCTGTAGATATCTCATGTCTTAGGATCCAATCATGGAATCGTCGTATGAGATTCAAGTCATGACGCTAGTCCATGTGACAATCTCATGCGGGTCAGTCCAGTATTCCGTTCTGCAACGAATACCTATGATTGTGATCGTATCCAATACCTATGATCATCTATGTGATCATCAATCACACATCATACTAGTCTTATTATGTCGTTATTCCCATAATGACATAAGACTAGGGAGTTTAGTATCATTCATAGATGATCATAGGTATTGGATACGATCACAATCATAGGTATTCGTTGCAGAACGGAATACTGGACTGACCCGCATGAGATTGTCACATGGACTAGCGTCATGACTTGAATCTCATACGACGATTCTATGATTGGATCCTAAGACCTGAGATATCTACAGAATCCAACATGAGGAGTTGCGTGCTTTGATTACGTCAAACGTCCTGCGTAACAGGAGGACTATAAAGGCGTGTATCAGGTACGAAATGAATCATGTACTGGATTGTAGATAGTCAATACGGGATTTGTACCTCTCGTAAAAGAGAGAGATATCGCTGGGCCCCTCGTGTGAGCAAGACTGTAGAAATGTGTGGCCGCACTATAGACGAACGTCGTCTATTTCAGACAGTCGAACTCAGTGAACGAGAAAGCAGTCGAATCAGATAAGGTGGCTTGTCCATGCCTTATGTTCGACATATGATATCGCGATACAAAAGGATCATCAGTCGGAATCATCACTGGCTTTCGTATGATCACAAACAAACTCTATTCGAGATAGGTAGTCATAGTGTCTTGCTAGAGACCGCCTATGACTTGTATTAGCGGAATGGAGATTCTGCGTTTTACTGCTATTCCGGATGAGTCTACAGGGTCACACACAATAGGGATGGACAAGTACTTGTGCTAAATTATCCCGATTAGGAATCCTAATTGGATTGAGATTCCTAATTGGAATAGGAATCCTAATGGGATTAGGAATCCTAATGGGATTAGGAATCCTATTATGTATAGGAATCCTAATGAGATTAGAATTCTATTACATCTAGGAAACCTAATGAGATTAGAATTCTAATAGGTTTAGGAAACCTAATTAGATTAGGATTCCTAGTAATCTATTCCTTGTCAAATTAGGATTTTTGGAAAGTCTATATAAGGAGAATGTCTTCTAGGGTTTTAAGTGAAGAAAAAAAAGAAGAAAAAAAAGAAGAAAAAAAAAGAAGAAAAAAGGAAGAAAAATAAAACCCTAAGCCTCCAAAAACCTTGCACACAAGAGAGATCGAGATCTCTAGTCCTAGCAGACAAGTTCCAAGGTGTTGGAATTTATCCCGACGTGTGGATACGTGTAGAGGGCGAGGTATTCTTCCTGCCTAGAGTGATCGGACGAACATATCAATTGATACAGGCCCCGGATCGATTGAGGTAAGCGTTCTAACGTTTCTATGATTCAATAGTAGCATGGTTCTAGGGTTTCATTAAAATTTTTGTTTTATATCCGCTGCGCAAACCCTAGAATCGATCTCTTAGGAATTAGATTCGCTGATGAGATCCCAGGAATCCCAACACCCCTCCAGTCACGCTTACGCTCGAGAGCTTGGATGAGCGTCTCCGAGCCATCGAAGATCAAGATGTACGAGTGGATGACCTAGAACAAGAGATCTCCGCTGTAGGTGGAAACACTAAGGAGATGCTCGAGGACTTGGCATGCCAACAACGGATTGATCGAGACATGACCGACGACAACTTTCAGCTCGTGCGTGAAACGCACGACCGCGAGGTAGCAGATTTGCGTAATTTGATTAACGAGTTGAAACTTGAGTGTAGGTTGCACAGGAATGTGGCTCAGCAAGCCCTTGCTCCAGCCCCGACTCAAGTTCCTCACCACCCAGCCTTCAAAGTTCCCGAGCCAACACTCTTCAATGGGACCCGAAGTGCTTCGGCGGTTGAGGGTTTCATCTTCGCAATGGAACAATATTTCGATGGCCTTGGAGTCTTGGACGACTACTCACGTGTGAGGCATGCTCCCACATACCTCCGAGACCTAGCACAGCTTTGGTGGAGGCGTGTGTTGGCGGACCAAGGGAGAGGCGACCGACGTGTGGACACTTGGGCGCAATTCAAAGCCGAATTGCGTCGGCACTTTGTCCCGACCAATGCGATTGACGAGGCTCGGACTAGATTCCGTAGACTTCGCCAAACAGGGAGTATCTCGGACTATATTCGCGAATTTTTTGCTCTATTGCTGGAACTTAATGATATTTCTGACCGTGATGCTCTCTTTCACTTTAAGGATGGCCTAAAGGAGTTTGCTCGTTTAGAAGTGAACAGGAGGGATTCTCAAACCCTAAATGATGCCATTGCGGTCGTAGAGAGCCTTCCGGACTACTCCAACAGACCCAACAACCAACAAGCACGACCTAGGGATTGGAATAGGCCTCGGCCTTCACACCAAAATCGAGACCAAGCTCAAACCTATAGGCCAAACAACACCCAAGGCTCCGGACAAGCGAGGGGGAAGTCTAAACCACATAACCCTTGCTATGTGTGCGGCGGCCCTCACTGGGTCCGAGAATGTCTCAAGAGAACCAAGGTGAATGCGATGGAGACACAAGATGAGCCGCGATCCGACAAAGGCAAAGGCAAGAGCAAGAACAAAGGCAACACCATCGAAGATGATGCAGCCATTGTCGAATCATTGCATCAATTTGGAACTATGTCCAAACCTAGTCCATCCGAGAATGCATTGGCCTCGGAGTCTCCTAACCGTGGCCTACTCTATGCGGACATCCTCATCTACGGTAAGTCGGTTCCAGCTATGTTTGACACCGGTGCATCTCACAATTTCTTGGATGTAGGTGAAGCCAAGGGGCTTAAGTTGAAGCTTGATGGAGATGGTGGCAGCTCGAGCGGCTGCTGGTTGGCTCGTGGTGTTCGGATCCAAATTGGAGAGTGGATTGGGAAGACTGATTTCACGGTCTTGCCCATGGACGATTTCCGAGTGGTTCTCGGACTTACCTTCTTTAGGTCGGTAAGTACTTTCATTCCCGCTTCCACCTCTTCTCTTGTGATCTTGGACAGGGACAAGCCAACCATAGTCACTCTATGACCTGCCCCAAGGGACTCGACAACCATCTCGGCCATGCAGTTCAAGAGAGGCGTCAAAAGCTCAGAGTGCTACTTAGCCACTGTCCGAGAGTTGAACGAGGAAAGAATCCTCGGATCAACCTCCCATGTCGAGCGAGGTACGTTCTTTACTGGATGGTTTTGCAGATGTGATGCCCTCGGAACTCCCCAAGAGGCTCCCACCGAGGCATGGAGTGGATCATCAAATCGAGCTCATCCCCGGGTCAAAGCCATCGGCAATGGCTCCCTACAGGATGGCTCCTCCCGAGCTAAACGAGCTCAAGAAGCAGTTGGAAGACCTCCTAGACGCAGGCTATATCCAACCCTCAAAGGCTCCATACGGTGCACTCGTCCTCTTTCAAAAGAAGAAGGATGGCTCCCTTCGGATGTGCATAGACTACCGTGCACTCAACAAGGTAACGGTCAAAAATAAATATCCTATACCCTTGATTGCGGATTTGTTTGATCAGCTTAGGGAGGCTCGGATCTTCTTCAAGCTTGAGCTTCGATCCGGTTACTACCAAGTAAGAATAGCCGAGGGAGATGAGGCCAAGACCGCATGTGTTACTAGGTATGAGTCATTCGAGTTTAAGGTAATGTCGTTTGGTTTAACCAACGCCCCTGCTACGTTTTGCACTATGATGCATGAGTTGTTTCATCCCTATCTAGATAAATTTGTGGTTATCTATCTAGATGATATTGTCGTGTATAGCAAGTCTTTGAGTGAGCATGTAGGTCACCTTAAGGCGGTCTTGGAAGTGCTCCGAGAAAACGAGCTGTACATTAAGCTTGAAAAATGCTGCTTTGCTCAACCACAAGTGGAGTTCTTAGGCCATTACGTGAAGGACGAACAGCTCCTAATGGATCTTAAGAAGGTCAAGTCAATCCGAGAGTGGAACAAGCCGAAGGCAGTCCCGCAATTACGGTCCTTTCTCGGTCTTGTAAATTATTATCGTCGTTTTATCCTTGGATACTCATCCATTGCAGCTCCCCTCTCGGATATGCTCAAGAAAGATAGGAAGTGGGCTTGGACGAACAAGTGTGAAGCTGCGTTCAACAAGCTCTGAGATATTATCTCAACCGAACCGGTCATGGTCTTACCCGACGTGGGTAAACCCTTTGAGGTACATTCTGATGCCTCAGACTTTGCTATTGATGGTGTCTTAATGCAGGAGAACCATCCCGTGGCGTACGAGAGTCGGAAGCTCAATGAGGCCGAGAAGAAATACACTGTCCAAGAGAAGGAAATGACGGCCATTGTCCATTGTCTTCGGACTTGGCGTCATTACCTCCTCGGAAGCTCGTTCGTGATCACTGGTCACAGTGGTCACAATGGTCACACTGACTGATTGAGTGTTGATTTCTTCTTTCCAGGTTCCGTTTATATATGATTTCTCAGATATTCAGTTCGCACCGAAAATTGAAAGCAAATGCTATTTGATGTTGGTTTGGTGCTCTATGATGTACTGTTTATGAGCTTTGTTCAGATACATTCGATGTATTGATACTTTCTATGTGTTTTATGAGAGTATTTTATTCATTACATGTTCTTGCATGCTAGATCTGTTATGAAATCCATGTATCATTATGAATGATACTAAACTCCCTAGTCTTGTGTCGTTATGGGAATAACGACATAATAAGACTAGTATGATGTGTGATTGATGATCACATAGATGATCATAGGTATTGGATACGATCACAATCATAGGTATTCGTTGCAGAACGGAATACTGGACTGACCCGCATGAGATTGTCACATGGACTAGCGTCATGACTTGAATCTCATACGACGATTCTATGATTGGATCCTAAGACCTGAGATATCTACAGAATCCAACATGAGGAGTTGCGTGCTTTGATTACGTCAAACGTCCTGCGTAACAGGAGGACTATAAAGGCGTGTATCAGGTACGAAACGAATCATGTACTGGATTGTAGATAGTCAAGACGGGATTTGTACCTCTCGTAAAAGAGAGAGATATCGCTGGGCCCCTCGTGTGAGCAAGACTGTAGAAATGTGTGGCCGCACTATAGACGAACGTCGTCTATTTCAGACAGTCGAACTCAGTGAACGAGAAAGCAGTCGAATCAGATAAGGTGGCTTGTCCATGCCTTATGTTCGACATATGATATCGCGATACAAAAGGATCATCAGTCGGAATCATCACTGGCTTTCGTATGATCACAAACAAACTCTATTCGAGATAGGTAGTCATAGTGTCTTGCTAGAGACCGTCTATGACTTGTATTACCGGAATGGAGATTCTGCGTTTTACTGCTATTCCGGATGAGCCTACAGGGTCACACACAATAGGGATGGACAAGTACGTGTGCTAAATTATCCCGATTAGGAATCCTAATTGGATTGAGATTTCTAATTGGAATAGGAATCCTAATGGGATTAGGAGTCCTGTTATGTATAGGAATCCTAATGAGATTAGAATTCTATTACATCTAGGAAACCTAATGAGATTAGAATTCTAATAGGTTTAGGAAACCTAATTAGATTAGGATTCCTAGTAATCTATTCCTTGTCAAATTAGGATTTTTGGAAAGTCTATATAAGGAGAATGTCTTCTAGGGTTTTAAAAAAGGAAAAAAAAGAAAAAGAAAAAAAAGAAGGAAAATAAAACCCTAAGCCTCCAAAACCCTTGCACACAAGAGAGATCGAGATCTCTAGTCCTAGCAGACAAGTTCCAAGGTGTTGGAATCCTTCCCGACGTGTGGATACGTGTAGAGGGCGAGGTATTCTTCCTGCCTAGAGTGATCGGACGAACATATCAATTGATACAGGCCCCGGATCGATTGAGGTAAGCGTTCTAACGTTTCTATGATTCAATAGTAGCATGGTTCTAGGGTTTCATTAAAATTTTTGTTTTATATCCGCTGCGCAAACCCTAGAATCGATCTCTTAGGAATTAGATTCGCTGATGAGATCCCAGGAATCCCAACACCCCTCCAGTCACGCTTACGCTCGAGAGCTTGGATGAGCGTCTCCGAGCCATCGAAGATCAAGATGTACGAGTGGATGACCTAGAACAAGAGATCTCCGCTGTAGGTGGAAACACTAAGGAGATGCTCGAGGACTTGGCATGCCAACAACGGATTGATCGAGACATGACCGACGACAACTTTCAGCTCGTGCGTGAAACGCACGACCGCGAGGTAGCAGATTTGCGTAATTTGATTAACGAGTTGAAACTTGAGTGTAGGTTGCACAGGAATGTGGCTCAGCAAGCCCTTGCTCCAGCCCCGACTCAAGTTCCTCACCACCCAGCCTTCAAAGTTCCCGAGCCAACACTCTTCAATGGGACCCGAAGTGCTTCGGCGGTTGAGGGTTTCATCTTCGCAATGGAACAATATTTCGATGGCCTTGGAGTCTTGGACGACTACTCACGTGTGAGGCATGCTCCCACATACCTCCGAGACCTAGCACAGCTTTGGTGGAGGCGTGTGTTGGCGGACCAAGAGAGAGGCGACCGACGTGTGGACACTTGGGCGCAATTCAAAGCCGAATTGCGTCGGCACTTTGTCCCGACCAATGCGATTGACGAGGCTCGGACTAGATTCCGTAGACTTCGCCAAACAGGGAGTATCTCGGACTATATTCGCGAATTTTTTGCTCTATTGCTGGAACTTAATGATATTTCTGACCGTGATGCTCTCTTTCACTTTAAGGATGGCCTAAAGGAGTTTGCTCGTTTAGAAGTGAACATGAGGGATTCTCAAACCCTAAATGATGCCATTGCGATCATAGAGAGCCTTCCGGACTACTCCAACAGACCCAACAACCAACAAGCACGACCTAGGGATTGGAATAGGCCTCGGCCTTCACACCAAAATCGAGACCAAGCTCAAACCTATAGGCCAAACAACACCCAAGGCTCCGGACAAGCGAGGGGGAAGTCTAAACCACATAACCCTTGCTATGTGTGCGGCGGCCCTCACTGGGTCCGAGAATGTCTCAAGAGAACCAAGGTGAATGCGATGGAGACACAAGATGAGCCGCGATCCGACAAAGGCAAAGGCAAGAGCAAGAACAAAGGCAACGCCATCGAAGATGATGCAGCCATTGTCGAATCATTGCATCAATTTGGAACTATGTCCAAACCTAGTCCATCCGAGAATGCATTGGCCTCGGAGTCTCCTAACCGTGGCCTACTCTATGCGGACATCCTCATCTACGGTAAGTCGGTTCCAGCTATGTTTGACACCGGTGCATCTCACAATTTCTTGGATGTAGGTGAAGCCAAGGGGCTTAAGTTGAAGCTTGATGGAGATGGTGGCTCGGTCAAGGCCGTGAACTCTCCAGCTCAAGCGGCTGCTGGTTTGGCTCGTGGTGTTCGGATCCAAATTGGAGAGTGGATTGGGAAGACTGATTTCACGGTCTTGCCCATGGACGATTTCCGAGTGGTTCTCGGACTTACCTTCTTTAGGTCGGTAAGTACTTTCATTCCCGCTTCCACCTCTTCTCTTGTGATCTTGGACAGGGACAAGCCAACCATAGTCACTCTATGACCTGCCCCAAGGGACTCGACAACCATCTCGGCCATGCAGTTCAAGAGAGGCGTCAAAAGCTCAGAGTGCTACTTAGCCACTGTCCGAGAGTTGAACGAGGAAAGAATCCTCGGATCAACCTCCCATGTCGAGCGAGGTACGTTCTTTACTGGATGGTTTTGCAGATGTGATGCCCTCGGAACTCCCCAAGAGGCTCCCACCGAGGCATGGAGTGGATCATCAAATCGAGCTCATCCCCGGGTCAAAGCCATCGGCAATGGCTCCCTACAGGATGGCTCCTCCCGAGCTAAACGAGCTCAAGAAGCAGTTGGAAGACCTCCTAGACGCAGGCTATATCCAACCCTCAAAGGCTCCATACGGTGCACTCGTCCTCTTTCAAAAGAAGAAGGATGGCTCCCTTCGGATGTGCATAGACTACCGTGCACTCAACAAGGTAACGGTCAAAAATAAATATCCTATACCCTTGATTGCGGATTTGTTTGATCAGCTTAGGGAGGCTCGGATCTTCTTCAAGCTTGAGCTTCGATCCGGTTACTACCAAGTAAGAATAGCCGAGGGAGATGAGGCCAAGACCGCATGTGTTACTAGGTATGAGTCATTCGAGTTTAAGGTAATGTCGTTTGGTTTAACCAACGCCCCTGCTACGTTTTGCACTATGATGCATGAGTTGTTTCATCCCTATCTAGATAAATTTGTGGTTATCTATCTAGATGATATTGTCGTGTATAGCAAGTCTTTGAGTGAGCATGTAGGTCACCTTAAGGCGGTCTTGGAAGTGCTCCGAGAAAACGAGCTGTACATTAAGCTTGAAAAATGCTGCTTTGCTCAACCACAAGTGGAGTTCTTAGGCCATTACGTGAAGGACGAACAGCTCCTAATGGATCTTAAGAAGGTCAAGTCAATCCGAGAGTGGAACAAGCCGAAGGCAGTCCCGCAATTACGGTCCTTTCTCGGTCTTGTAAATTATTATCGTCGTTTTATCCTTGGATACTCATCCATTGCAGCTCCCCTCTCGGATATGCTCAAGAAAGATAGGAAGTGGGCTTGGACGAACAAGTGTGAAGCTGCGTTCAACAAGCTCTGAGATATTATCTCAACCGAACCGGTCATGGTCTTACCCGACGTGGGTAAACCCTTTGAGGTACATTCTGATGCCTCAGACTTTGCTATTGATGGTGTCTTAATGCAGGAGAACCATCCCGTGGCGTACGAGAGTCGGAAGCTCAATGAGGCCGAGAAGAAATACACTGTCCAAGAGAAGGAAATGACGGCCATTGTCCATTGTCTTCGGACTTGGCGTCATTACCTCCTCGGAAGCTCGTTCGTGATCAAGACGGACAACGTGGCCACGAGCTACTTCCAAACGCAGAAGAAGCTCAGTCCAAAACAAGCCAGATGGCAGGACTTTTTGGCCGAGTTCGACTACACCATGGAGTACAAGCCGGGAAAGGCCAATGTTGTGGCCGACGCCTTTTCCCACAAGCCGGAGTTCGCAACCCTCAACGGGAGTGAGCCTAGGACCGACTTCACAACTCGGATCCGAGAGGCCATGTCCCATGACCCCGCGGCCAAACATCTCCTTGAACCTGACCGGAAACACCAAACCCGGAAGTTTTGGGAGAAAGACGACATTGTTTTCTCAAGAGGGAGGTGGATCTATGTCCCTAGACACGAGGGCATTCGGAGGGAGATCCTGAAGGAGTCACATGACTCACGGTGGGCTGGACATCTCGGAGAAAAGCGCACCTTGGCCTTAGTAGCCGA